AAGTGAAAAAAAGATTAGCATGGATATCATCTAGTCTGCATCCCAAAATTTTAAATTTTGGCAATTATTACTTGGGATTCTACTGAATACATGTTTTTTTACTTAATATTAACTCGGTATGTCATTGAAGTTTTTTATATTTTGGTTCATCTATAATTGAAGACAGCTAATTAAACTAATGTTTGGTTCGATTTAGTTTGTTTGGGAAATAATTTGGTCGGCTCTTTTAAATTTTACCACTAAAATTAATTAGTTTAGCTAATTTGCAAGCCAAACCAGTCAAATTGACCCAATGCACACCCTTGTTTGAATTGCTACATGAAGGAGTGGAACTAATAAGGAAATACTCCAATATTCGTTGAAGTTTCAACCATAGCCTACAATTGTACGGGATTTCCAATGAATATTAAATTCTTCTCCAAGCTCGAGGCATATCTCAACCTCTGATACTTTCACTTAGCTCTCTTGGCAGTTTTGATTTGAACATCACAATTTCCCACAATGTCTGTGGGCTCATCATCAATTTTATATAATTTTTTATATTTTCTAGCACAGTAATCAAAGGAACTCTTTTGTGAGGTAGGGCTAAAGGTTACATTTGATTACAAGATCCAGGTTAACTTCATGGAACCCTAAGCACCGATGATTAATGCAAATTGAATCACTTTTGAGCCCTTATACACCAATTCTTTTTTATTCAATTTATTTGTCAACTTTCTTTTAGGATCATCCCTTTTCATGAGTCTTCCGTTATATATTGTCAATATATGCTATAACAATTTTTATTAACCACTTGTTTAATAGTTTTGTTAATTTAGATTTGGATCTCATAGCTTTATGGCATTTTTTAAAAATATTTTTTGTCATCTTTAGCCTTCCTTTACATGGTTTCATCCTCGGAATCTTTTTCTTTGGATTGAGTCACATCAGTAGCTTTAACTTCATAGGCTTACATGATCTACTAATTGTCATCACAGTATTTTTTTCAGTTATAAGGCAATGATGATAATAAGCTTAATCCACAAACTTCATTATCAAGATAGATATTAAAAAAACCTCAATTTGCTTGTGATCAAAATGAATTTGATGATTTCTTTCAATGTTTGGTTACAAAATAACTTTCCACTATAACGAGATTATTTATTTTTTCATTAGATATTATTTGTTATTGGTGCCTTTTTATACACATGCAAACAAGCTTTTTGCTCGTTGGTTGTGATATTCTCATAGTGCATGTTAAATTTTTAGTAACTCTCAAGTTTATAAATCTCAAACTTTGTATCCAGGAGCTCCAATTTACTTGTTCGTGGATGTTGACTCTCTCCAGGAGTGGCAAATAAAACTTCCTTTTTTTTGCATCCTATATTTAATCTTCATTTTCCGATATACAAAACATTTTATATTGAACTTATTGATCTTCACATTTCTATTCGTCCCAGCCATTACTCCCATTTCTTCCTCAGAATCTTACTGCTAACTTCAATGCTAATTTTTTGGTAAATTAATGGAGGAGAGCAAGCATGAAAATAAAAAAAATAATGATAACGATAGATAGTCAAAATAGAAGATAGTGGAAAGCCAAAATAGAAGATAGTGGAAATTCTATTTTTGACAAAAAAGTTCTAACCAACATCTATAGCTGTATACAGGAAAAAGTTCTCCACGTGGCCCTTTGAATTTTAGAGAAGGATAATATCAATATATGATTCTTGGATGTGTTTATAGAAAAGAAGAAGAAGAAGAATCTTGATTTATATGCCAATTTACACTGAATATTCTCTAACACCATTGGGCTTGCCTTTGAAACAGTACCTTTTTCAACATTCACCCACTTGCATATTGCACCACCATGTTTGCCAATGACAATACTTTGTTTAACTAGGATATTACTGTGTTTTCTTATAACAATACTATGCCTTCACTAACAACTCCATGTCTTCGGGACCAGCATGCTTGCACAAGAGAAGTAAATGATTTTTTTTCTTATTGTTAATTTCCCTTCATCATCCTTTGTTTTTCTCCACGCTCTGCTTTCTTCTTTTTTAATATTATTCTTACTATTATTTTTCAAACAATACTCCTTTCCTACATTCCAATATTATCTAGAAACCCATGGTAAAAATTGTATTTGGATAGGAGCCAAATGATAAAAGAGTAAGAAACCAAGGAAAACTGATAACATAATCTTCCAAAAATTCTGAAACTTCTTTGGACACTACATTTAAATTTTGAGTGCAGTGGAGAGTACAATGAGCAAGCATCGCCAGTTTCTTGGAGATTAAAAAAAATAAATGAAAACCATTTACTCGTGGTCATTCTTCATCTTGGAACAAAAAGTTATATGTTGTTTTGGAGAAGAAATCTCCTACCCTCCCTTTTTCTGACGAAATAGGCAATTCAAGAACAAGTCACCTTAAATATTATAAGGAGATATAACTAGTTCACAAATCGGGGTTTAGTGGATATATCTCTATAGACAATGAAATCTAATTGAGATAATTATGTATGAGAACAAGAAATGCTGATAATTGGTTATGGTGATAGTGAAATCATGAAACTAATGGCCACCTGCATTTTTTTAGTCTGTTCGAAAGTTTTATTCATTGGATTTATCATCTTCTTGACCGCCATTGATTATTTGGGTGTAATATATTACTTGTATTTATCATGAACAGAAACATTTTCTTACAATTTTATATTGTGCTGACATCAAAATTTGCAATTATCTTTTTTTTCCTATATATGCCGCGATATATTTTTTTTAAAACTGGCTATTGTTTTTATTTTTTCATAAATAAAAACTCTTGAATAAAAAAGCAGCTTGTTTCTGTTTTTTTCTCAATTATGGACCACCCAGTTAACAAATTGAGGACCATTGTACTTAGATTTAACTATGAAAAGTAATATGGCCTCAAAATTTGAAAATTTAGGATGATTTGGTTATGCATCAAGTTTATAAAAGGCACACCTTGACAATTGACTAGACAGTGAGATAATTAAGTTATTAGTTTCATATATGAGTACCCATATCAAATAATTTTTTTTACTAGGTATAGGTATAATAGGACATTTATTACAAACTTCAATGCATTCGTTTTCAAAATAATTTACAGTATATTTGTAATCGAGTAAAGTGTCAAAATAGTCCTCAACGAACTATATAGGGCTGTTTTAGTCCAGAGTTTGTATAAGTGTCAAAATAATCCCCATTTATTTTAAAATTGAGTTTTAATATTTCTTCATGAAATCTATTTAGCCATAGTTTAAATTCTTTAAAGTTTGAAACTATTTTGGCACTTAACTCAATTTTAATCTGCACTACAAGTAGTCCCTTTTTCATCAAGTTTGATTAACATTCAAATCCTCATTTAAGTGGGTGAAGTTAGATTACTGTTTCTATATGTATATTCATGAGGATACCCAGTAGTTCGAGTAAATCGATAGTTTAGCCAAGCAATGGAATCTAAAAGCAAGTCAGGAAGAAAATCACCTTCATATTCAGTTTATTGCTTTTATCAGACTATTTGCCTGCTCCATTCTAGAGCCTATTAGCCCATTAGCTACATAAAACAGAAGACAGTTCTTATAATCCACAACTTAAGCATAACTTAACCGAAAAAAGGACATTAAATCGACAAAGTTTTTATGAGATTGTTGGCTATTGTTTTTATTTTTTCATAAATAAAAACTCATGAATAAAAAAGCAGCTTGTTTCTGCTTTTTTCTGCTTTTTTCTCAATTATGGACCACCCAATTAACAAATCGAGGACCATTGTACTTAGATTTCACTATTAAAAGTAATATGGCCTCAAAATTTGAAAATTTAAGATGATTTGGTTATGCATCAAGTTTATAAAAGGCACACCTTGACAATTGACTATACAGTGAGATAATTAAGTTATTAGTTTTATGTATGAGTACCCATATCAAATAAATTTTTTTACTAGGTATAATAGGACATTTATTACAAACTTCAATGCATTCGTTTTCAAAATAATTTACAGTATATTTGTAATCGAGTAAAGTGTCAAAATAGTCCTCAACGAACTATATAGGGCTGTTTTAGTCCAGAGTTTGTATAAGTGTCAAAATAATCCCCATTTATTTTAAAATTGAGTTTTAATATTTCTTCATGAAATCTATTTAGCCATAGTTTAAATTCTTTAAAGTTTGAAACTATTTTGGCACTTAACTCAATTTTAATCTGCACTACAAGTAGTCCCTTTTTCATCAAGTTTGATTAACATTCAAATCCTCATTTAAGTGGGTGAAGTTAGATTACTGTTTCTATATGTATATTCATGAGGATACCCAGTAGTTCGAGTAAATCGATAGTTTAGCCAAGCAATGGAATCTAAAAGCAAGTCAGGAAGAAAATCACCTTCATATTCAGTTTATTGCTTTTATCAGACTATTTGCCTGCTCCATTCTAGAGCCTATTAGCCTGTTAGCTACATAAAACAGAAGACTGTTCTTATAATCCACAACTTAAGCATAACTTAACCTAAAAAAGGACATTAAATCAACAAAGTTTTTATGAGATTGCGTTTAATACAATGATTAGGTTGTCTCATTTATGATTTGCAGTTTAAAATGAAATGACCTCTTCGGAAATTAATGTTAGGGCAAAAGAACATATACACAAATCTTTTCCCGAACACTATATTGACTGGAGCTTAGAGCAACTTGCTGCACTCATTTTTTTTCTTCTAAGAATTAACAGCATACAGCATGCGAGAAGCTTCATGATTTCTTATCAGCTATTTTTTTTTATTTATCACAATCAATGGATGCAATAAAGAATAGCATAAAACTATAGCTAAGCCATTTGCCCCCCCCCCCCCCCCCGTATAAATTTATTGATTTGTACATTTTCGGGCTACTAACCTGGAAGACTAACTCGAATCCTTCATCTTAGGTGAATGAAAATGAAAGCACAGTCTAGAGTTTTGCTTATTTTATAGTTGAATGAACTATAACTGATGTGTCACCCTTTGCAGTACTTTGGTCCAACTTTTGTTCATGATGCTAGCAAGATTTCAGCGTCCCCGCCACCATATATAGAACCATATGAGCTGCTGAAGGACGAAAGGATATCAGAACTAGCTCCAAATGTGAAATAAGCACCCCCATTTAATATAATATTTCTGTACACATGTAATATTCTTTACCGATTGTTAATTTCTATATGTTAGTAGTGTTTTATGTTTGGAAAATATATGCACATTCCAACTCCCAGGTTTCCTCTTATGTGATCCAGAGAATTTTGTATCGGGTTTTATTGATATATAAAGATTGATTAGTATGAGTCATTTTGGATTATGTTGAAACAAATGTAATATATGGGTGATTGTTATTGTACTAATCTTAATGATGATCTAAGGTTTTGAGATTCATCCTGATCAAAATTTTGATTATGAATATCTTGAGGTTTATTTTCTACGTTTTATATTTCTGTGGCCCTGTTCTTAGCCGTGAAAAAGGGGAGTAAGAAATGAGGAATTAATGCACTTATGGTTTGTATTATTGTTCCTCCTGCCATGAATATACCAGAAAACTTACAGCACCCTTAGTTCTCTTTCCGCTATGAATTGCTCTGGTACACAATTTTATCCTTCATGATCTTTTGGGTTATTAAATTTAACTTGACAAATAGGGTTACAATTATTTTTCGTTCTTCCATTCTTAAGAAATGGATATGTTGGTTGACTGGCTATTAATGCACGCCATCCATTAGGGGTGTAAACAGTGGCTATTAATGCACGCCATCCATTAGGGGTGTAAATAGATGCTCAGCTCGTTTATATTTCGAGCTCAAAAAGTGTGTTCGTGTTCGGCTCGTTTGCTTA